TAATATATCCCACCCCTTGACAGGTGCCATTGTATAAGTAATGTTATTCACTTCACCTGTCAGTGGTTGTGATGTTATGCCTGATCTGTTTAAGTTTCCAGTTCGGCTATTAAACTGACACTATAGGCAATCAGACAACTTGTTCCCATTCAAGTGGTCTGAGTGAAGTGTCACTGTCCCCTTAGGCACTTGCCATAATGTTCCTCACATGAACTGACGACGGAGGAGGAGCCCGACCCAGCACCTTGGCGCTGGGATTGGTTAAGTGTTTAAAGGGTTATTTAACCCTTTTATGGCTGAGGGAGAACTGGGGGTGGGGATTGTACTGTTCCTTTAAGGTTTCACTGGAAAGCAGTAAGGTTTGAACTGTTAAAAATTCACAACTTAAATAAAAGTGTTAACATTGAGACTTTACATATGCACAGCTAGGAGTATTAGTGCCAGCTAATACGCTCATCATGCTGATAAACATAGCTGAGCATAGTGTTACCATCAATGTTTTACCATCTGTCCAGTGCAGAGATTGCTAATCTTTTGTTTTCCAGCTCATTCAGTCTACAGTCCCAACAATGCTGTCTGAGCACTAAGATAAATGTTCTCCACATGAGCTGGACTATTAGGGTATGTTCTCACTTTTGCAGGGTTGCCAGATCTACCAGTGTTTCCTGGATACATATAACTTCTTACTAAAGAGCTGACAATTACTTCACAACTTCAAGGAAAAGGTTTTGCATGCATTATTATTAGTAAACAGTAGAACATAATGACAGTGTATACTGTATCTGCTAAAAGGGATACTATAAGTGCAAGAAATACAAAGCTGTATTCCTGGCACTATAGCTCCCTCTGCTTCCCCCCTCACTCATGCCCCCCCTTAGTGAATAAAGGGATAAAAAAACTTTTTATTTACTTACCTAACCCCAGCGCAGATGTCCCTCTGGCTCCTCCGAAGTCCCGTGATGAACGGGCGCTGATGCGCATGCGCGGCAATAACCGCTCACGCATTAGACCCACACATAGGAAAGTAATGAATTAATGCTTTTCAATAGGGAAAAATCTGACGCAGGATTTACTCATGCAGAGCTGCAATATTTCGGGAACTGCAATGTTTTGCAATAGAGACACTACACCCAGACTACTTCAATGAGCTGAAGTTGTCTGGGTGCCTACAGAGTCCCATTAAGGTGATTGACTTGGTGGCTATTTAGTGGATAATCCCCAGCAGCACCCCCATTTGTGCATGTTCAGGTGAGTGCAGCCAACCCCCTCTTGTTTCATATATATATTTGGGAGTCTAGCCAACTCCTTGGTTTTGCACCCCTCCCTGTCACAGGTGCCTCATCCCAAGGCCCTATTTAGCCTTGTACTGCAGAGAGCCCCAGATGGAACTTTTTCCCCCAAGTAAGTAGGTTAATCTCATAAGAGCAGACATTAGGCTGTTAGTGTAGGACCTGCCAAAGATAGGGTACATTGACGTTGTGGCAGGCTTATGCAATGTATGATCATATAATGTAACTAAACCCCCATTATTTTTGCCTAGATTAGGTGTTTTAAAAAAGAAAACCAAAAAAACAACAAATATTTGTGTTAAGCAAAGTCTCCCGAGTACAACAGTACCCCTCATGTACAGGTTTTATGGTGTTTTCAAAAGTTACAGCATCAAATATAAGGCTTGTGTTTAATTTTTTTCACATTAAAATTCGCCAGATTGGTTACGTTGCCTTTGAGACCCTATGGTAGCCCAAGAATTAAAATTACCCCTATGATGGCATACCATTTGCAATAGTAGACAACCCAAGGTATTGCAAACAGGGTATGTCCAGTCTTTTTTAGTAGCCACTTAGTCACAAACACTGGCCAAAATTGGCGTTTTTTGCATTTTTCACACACAAACAAATACTAACGCTAACTTTGGTCACTGTTTGTGACCAAATGGCTACTAAAAAAGACTGGACGTACCCCATTTGCAATACCTTGGGTTGTCTACTATTGCAAATGGTATGCCATTATGGGTGTAAATTTTATTCCTGGGCTACTATAAAGTCCCAAAGGCAACATAACCTATCTGGCGAATTTCAATTTCAAATGTAACGTGCTATATTTGACCCTGTAACTTCCCAAAACGCCATAAAACCTGTACATAGGGGGTACTGTTTTACACGTGAGACTTTGCTGAATACAAATATGTGTATTTTATTGCAGTAAAAGCAAACAGTATTATGACATTGACAGTTAAAATGTCATGCAGAACTAAAAAAATTTAAAAAGAAATATTTTCTCCCATTTTTTTCATATTAAATTGTTTCATAGCTAAATATTTGATATTAAATGAAAGCCCTGTTTCCCCTGAATAAAATGATATATAATAAGGGTGGGTGCATTTAATATGAAAGAGGTGAATTACGGTTGGACAGACATGTAGCGCAAATGCCAGGTTTTGTTTACGTTTTGTTTTGTTCACAAAGTGTACATTTGGCGCAGTCCTTAAGGGGTTAAAACCTTGAATTTTTATGCTATTCCACATTTAAGATATTTTGATTCCTTCATTGATATTTTTAGATTTATTGATTGCTTGATTTATAATTATTTTTTCATGTACTACCATAATTTAGAATGTTTCATGCCAGTATAACTGGTTACATTTCCAGTTAACAAATTATTCTGCAAATTATTCTTTTTTTTTTAAGGGGGGGAGCGGAGGGCTCTTAGAATTGTGTGCCTACAGTCACCACATATGTAAGTTGGACCCTAACTACAGTTGGTTTGGAGAATATATCCAGATCAGCTAGCTATTTTTGTACATACACCAATACAGCACTTTTAATTTGATGTTGATTAATATCCAGGTTCTATTAGTCTTAATCTGAAGTGAAAGTTACAACAGTTGCTGTGCTAGGTGTAGTCACTCAGGGTTATTCAATAAAGTGCAAATTGTCAGGAATACAAAGTAAATTTCAAGTTTTTAGTTCAGTGTAGCTGAAATGAAAAGTAAGCTGTCAGACCTTCATCAAATAAAATATAGTTAACACATAACTAAACTGCCAAGGTTCCGCATCATCTGGATACTATTAAAGAATGCATGCTAGTGTTCACAGCCAAGTAAAAAGATAAAAATATTCCATTTTATTTCACGTACCTATATTTCGTCCTTCCACTTTAATATGGGGACCCTGTTTAGAGGTTATGATTCTCTCGGACTTCCAAGTCCCAGCCTCCTTGATTTTTCCAAGCTCATCCTCTATGACAGCCCTGAGGTGGGCAACTGTGGATTGTGCCCTAACTACTCTCAGTGGGCATCTGGCGAGCCAGGGAACCAACATGATTCTTGCAGAACCAACGACAGCTCAGTTTGAAAAGAGAATGGAATACTAGTAATCATTCCATGTAGAAAGGAGGTGTGTGCTAAGCAGCGAATCAGAGCTCTGAACACTGCTTCAGTCATGTCAGGGCTGGCTTTTCCTTTAATGAGTGCAGAGCAGCAGGCATTACAAGTCAGCCCTGCATAATGCATTACATAAATGCACCAAGCATCATGGGAGTTGTAGTTCTACCACAGTTGGTGAATCTACTGACTGGACATCCCTGAACTAGACAGTAGCCAGAAACAAACTTGCCATTCTTTTGTCTAGATTAAAACACCATACTCCTGCATGGGTGTAGGAAGCGAGGTAATGGGGAAGACAAATAATCCCCCCTCATCCCCCCCAGAAATTCCAGTGGGTGGGAGTGAGATGGATAACGATTTAAGAAAAATTATGAAAAACAAGTTTTTTGTTTTTTTTTCTACATAGATTTAAAACCATTACATTTCAACAAGAAAATGCAAAAATATCAGTGAAAAGAATTTTGCTGACTTTTTGTTTTTGTGAGAAATTGCATATTGCTAGATATTAAAGGGAATTAAATAGGTCTCTACCAGATTCTTCTAATATCCTTCCAGTGTCATTTCGCCTATGGAAAACTGCATTGATTAATATGTTATCTACCGGGCTCATATCTGTTATGAAAGGCTGTTCCCCTAGATTGTCTGGTTCATAAACCGATGTGTGTATGGATTAGCAAAAGCAATATTTAATGTCCTCCCACCCTAAATCAACAAATAGGACAAATTGTGGTTTCAGAGTAAGTTCTGTCACTGGAAGTGTTCATTTAAGGACGTGTCCGTTTTTAATAGGCTATCAGGGTGACCTTGTATGTCCGTTCATGTAGACATATGTGGCAATGAAACAGTTAATGTGGATGTGCAGCACTACACAGTCACAGTAAGACAGGAATGGGTGTAGCTTGCCTGAACTGCCTCTGAGTCCTCTGCTTAAAAAAATGCCAGCTCAGCAATAGTCAGCAATAACATATAGCCCAAAACAGAGGTATCATTTAATTATATTATGTTCTCTATTTTACTTTTTTGAATTCAGTATCTTTATTTATTTAATTTGATGGCATTCTAAAAGGTTTTTATTTACATTATTACAAACTGTAACATATTAACAAATCATCACAATTAAAGGTAACATTTCCAAGGTGTGAGTATAGCTGAGTAGGAGGATGTTTTAGCTTACATTTTGCAATTCAGATTTTAATACACTTGTTGCGGAGCTGCAATTTTATAATCCCAGGATCTCTGCTGGTAGAATGCAATAACCAAGTACAAAGCTGGAAGCAGGCAATATTCCCAAATCCTCCCAAGAACCAGACGAAACACAGTCTGAGAGTCAACTGCCACTTTATTCAAAATAACTGATATTTAAAGCAGGTCACTCAACAGGGGTTTCCAAAGATGGGCAGCAGGGGTTTTGGTTGAGGGGACTGGAGGGAGACTACCGTTTCCAGGTCCTCCTCCCAACAGCCCCTGCTGTAACATACAGTAATGAAAACTACGAGGACATAAACCGTTACCTTTCTACTTCAAAATATACAACTTAGTCAGTTTTAATAGCAATGCTAACGAATGGGGAGGATTCGAACAGACATACACAGTACAGCATAAATTAAACATAGCCGGAGACGCCACACTATACCGGCGCGCAGTACACAACAGAAAATAGGCACAACCATTCTATCTTAGGCAGTCCCAAGTGGCTAGGTTTGCCACAACACTACAGTTCTGGGGGTTAATGATCAGAACAATAAATGGTTTTATTTTCAGTTGTGAATAATTACATGCTCATACTCTCTCACTCCAACCCACAATCGATCTCATCCTAGACCCCATGGATACAAAACCCATTCACACCTCCTGTCACTTTCTCTCCTTCTGCTTCTAGCAGCTGGTGATGTCTCTCCCAATACAGAGCCCTTCACCTTCTCTACACACAGTAAGACAACCAGAAACCCCACAAACCTCATCACAATACCCTGCCCTTTACCCTTACTTAACAACATTCAGTGTGCACTCTGGAACGCCCTCTCAGTCTGCAGTAATTTAAAATCAACAGCCGTACATGACTTTTTCATCTCAAACTCCCTCACACTACTTGCACTTACAGAGACCTGGCTGTCCCCCTCTGATAGCGCTACTCCTGCGTCTTTATGTTTTGGTGGGCTACAGTTCTCTCACACTACCAGACTCAACTGTAAATGAGGTGGTGTAGGCATCCTTCTTTTCCCTCAATGTACCTTTCAACCAATCATAACTGCCCTTGCCCCTTCTTCTTTTGAAGTTCACACTGTCCGCCTATTTAAACCCACTCCTTTAACAATTGCTATTATCTACCGCCCCCCGCCCATCCTAGGCTATTCATTGAGCCCTTTTCTTCCTGGCTTCCCCACTTCCTCTCATCTAGCACTCCTTCCCTTATACTTGGGGATTTCAATATCCCAATCAACAACCCCAACTGCACTGATGCCTCTCGTCTGCTCTCTGTAACCTCCACCTTTGGTCTCATGCAATGGTCCAATTTAGCAACCCATACATCGAGAAACACTCTTGATCTCGCCTTCACCAATCTCTGTACCGCCTCTAATCTCTCCAATATTAATTTTCATCAATCTGACTACCATCTGCCGACTTTTCACATAAGCATACCCATGACCTAATTGACACCACTGTCTGAACACCAGTCTCACAGAAACCTCCAACGTCTTGACCTAGAGCATTTCTACACTAATCTCTAAACTCTCCTTTTACCTATCTCAAACCTCACCTATCCTAAGTCTGCAACCTCCTTCTACACTTCCACCCTCTTCTCTCAACTAGACATCATGGCACCTCCTACATTTAAACACAGCAAGCGCCCCCAACAACAACCTTGGCACACCAAGCTGCCTTCGATTTCTCCAAAAATGCTCCAGAACTGCAGAACACTGTTGGAGAAAACCTCACTGTGCGTCTGACTTTCTCCACTATAAATTTATGCTGTGCTCATACAGCTTGGCTCTTTCCTCTGCAAAAGTAAATTACTTCAATACCCTCATAACCACACTCTCCCGCAAAAAAACGACTATTTCACACATTTAACACTCTTCTTTACCCTATTGTTCTTCCTCCACCTACTAACTTGACCGCCTCAGACTTTGCAACTCACTTCACTGACAAGATCTCTACAATCAGGGAAGAGATCTCTCATCTTTCTACTTCCCTAACCTCACTCCCTCTGCTGTTCTATCTTCATTCGCATTTGCTACAGCGGAAGAGGTTTCTGCTCTGCTCCAGTCCTCCCGGCTCACCACCTGCTCTCTAGATCCAATTCCCATGCATCTAATCCATACTCTATCTTCTTCTTTTTCTCTACCTCTCAATCTCTCTCTCCTCTGGCATATT